ATATATATATATCTTTTGTTCTTCTCAAAGCCAAATGCTGACCTCAATTATATACTTGATGGGCGGATTCTATAGCATATAACCATGGCCCGGGTGATTGACATTGAGATTTCTGATCACCAAAAGAATTAGAGGCAGAATGTGATAGAGTAGAAGAACCTGTAATTGAATTCAGTTAGAGTTGTTTGAACAACTGGGAGTTGGGTGGTTATCTTGATCTGATGAGTGTATTACAGTAGTGGGTCTTGATTAGAGGTTGGTTAGTAGTAGCCTATAGTTTTTTTGTATTATAGTGAATAATTGATGATCATGGGTCATTATGTGCGAAATATTGATATCTAGTGGAGCGATCAGACTTTCTATACCCATGAAAAAAAGAGAGGGCTATAATTTTCCTGACATTTTCCTCCACATCATGGGTTAATCCAACACTTATAACCCAAACCGGGATACTTACCTCTGAGCCAGAGCCTAAAAGACAATTATAATCATCTAATGGAGCTAAGCCCATATCTAATTACAACATCCAACACATCTATTACATGCTCTGTCTCTCTATTTGATTTTTGGAGTATTTCACCATGGTTTTAAAGAATTTAGTAATGACTATGGTTATTTCCTTCTTTGTTTCTTTATGTGGATGTTGAACTTCCAATATATTCATCACTTTATGTAATAGTCAAGGCAATAAGATATGATATTGTCTACAAAGAGACCATTTATCTTTTGTACATGAATGTCATAATTATTTTAATTTTTTTTGAAATTTTGCATCTATTGTCTCTTTGTAAACAATTCCATAAGATATTTAGGGTATGTTTGATGAGCCCAAAATATACAGATATTTTGGTATATTATAAGATCCTATTTTTTTCAAATTCAATTTGGTTAGAGTGGTGTTTGATTGGTCCAAAGTAAATCTAATAAAATTTGAGTAACGCCCCAATATCAGGATCCCCAAAAAAAGAAAGAAAAAAAAAAGGGTGGAATTGAATTTTAGAAGATGCTAAAAAGCGATAACCCTATGTAAAAAATTCTACATGCATCCAATTTCTTCCCTCGGGCTAAAAAATTTCCCTCTTCCTTTATATTAATTTTTTCCCTCGTGTAACTAGAGGCATGCCTTTTGTTACTGGTGCCTGATGTTGGAGAACCTGCAACGGCCTAAGAGCTAAGAATTAGTGATTGAAGAACTCCTAGAATGTTAACCGCTCCACTGGATTATGATTTAAAAGGCTTCTACACATATCACTGAAATCAGGATGTTGTTCCCTAATAACATCCTGCGGAAACTGCAAATCCGTGAACTTCAATATGTTCTGGAAAAGTTGAAATTAATTATCCCCTCAATACAATACTCTATTACATGTTGTAGGGGAAGTACATAAGTTCATGAAGCATAGAAAACTTGTCCATCTGTTTTTTTAATGCAGTGGTGTTTTTCCTCTCATTTTTGCAATTCTATTTTTTTTAAATTTGTATATGCTTCATAAGGGCGGGGGAACTCACCCCAACTTTGTCGCACGAGAAACAAATGGGGAATTCGTCAATCACTATGTGAAAAACAGAAAAAGAAAAGAAGAAACGAAAAGAACAGATAAAAAAGAAACATTCTTATATGGAATTAATCAAAACTGTTTGCTGCAAATACATGACTGTGAAAGAAGAAAAAAGAAATCCTTTTTAAATCTCAGTTTCGTTAATTGTATAGAAAGCAATAGAGACAAAAGACCCCCCAAAAACTTAGTAACTTCCCTGTTAGAAAGAAAAATGCACATTTAGGGTACCACTAACATCGCTACCAACCAAACCTTCACTGGTCCTGTTGTAAACTAGAATACGGGGGATGTGTGCTACCTTGGAGCGTTCTTCATCGCCTGAATCTCTACGTAGAGGCTCTATATACTCACCAGGCATATCTGTGAACTGCAAGGTTTGAAGAGTGGTGAGGTGTTGGAAGCCTTGAGGCAACCGCTTCATTCTCAATATGCCTTCAATGTACAGTTCTCTGAGGCATGGCATCGCTCCCTTCTCCAATTCTTCCCACTATTCCAATTCACTCAAATGTTCTACAACGAGAAGTTCAAGTTTGGGGAAGCTGCCTGCGCTGCATTTTGCTAGATGCTTACCCTCATATGATTCCTTTAATTAAAGGAGCCCCATGAGTTTGGGCAATTTGTGAAGGATGGCAAATGGGTCCTGGGTAATTTTGGT